TGGGATTAGTATTATTCTTGTGTTTCACCTTGCATGTTTTGACTTCCAGAATAATTGAGTTTATTAAGAATAATCGAATTATTCAAACGGGCCACAGTCGTTCATATGTTGGAAGTAGATATGAATGAAGACTGTCGTGAATTGGTGTGTGGATTGTCTAGAAGAGTATTAGACATAAGCAAATGTTTGCTGCAACGTTCATGAGTGCTTATGAATATGATTTGAGCATTGGATTAAACCCACGCTCACTTGGATCACTCCATGAATTGTATCACGAGTGATTGGTGAGACGATAACATCTTATATTCTTGAAACCGAGATGTGTGAGTTGTATCTTGCGAATCGGTTGCACATTGATAATATGTAAACGCACCAGTAACTTGGTGTTATAAAACATATTGTTGTGTGTAATTCGGTGAGTGAGTGCAAGCAAGCATTGTATCAAAGTTTATCCGTTCCTTTTATCCAAAGTAGGATAAAAGCGATATCTTTGGGCCCCTCGATGGTTTAGTGATGACATACGTAAATGCTCGGCCGGGCTAGGGCTAATTTGATTTGTTCAATTAGTCTGTCGTCATAAATCGGAAATCGAGATAGAGTACAAAGAGAATGATTTGAAATCATATCTCATACGATATCTAGAATGGAGGAATATATGATCCCTTATCTAAGGACACGCATATCTGATATGATCAGAGTTGACAGCGGCTTTGGAAAGCTACGATTGCAGATCAGGATCTGAAGTCATACGCAGAATAGTTGTTAGACTTATCCAAGTGGGAGACTGTTGGATTAGTGTCTAAGTCCATAACTATTTTGGTATGTACTTGACCCGATGGTGCATGGTCCTTTTGGGTTGCCTTCACCAAAGCAACTTGATTGGAGAAATGAATAAAGAGAGAAGGATAATATGATTTATTAATATGTTATAGAATAATATTAAAGGAGAAATCATATTTGTTTAATTAATATTGGTCAATAATTAATTAAGAATTAGTTTTGTGATCAAATGTAATTAATTAAACTAGAGGGGCTGAATTGTAATTATGTGATAGTTACAAAATAAGGTAAGGATTATCTTATATATATGGTGAACGAATTTGAGGTGTAAATCCCTTAGAATTCGAGTATGATAAGGATTCAAGGATTATCTTATTGGTTGCTTAATGGATAATCAACTAGATAAGGATAATGACTGAAACCCTATCTCTACACCTATATAAACACCCCTAGGGCCATGAATTCGAAAATCCCTTCCCAAGAGGTCCTAGATACGAATTCTAACCTCTCACCTCTCTCCTTATACCTTCTCCACTTGCTTATGGTGTTTGTGAGCCATTAGAGGAGTGACACTTGTGACTCTAAGCATTCCAAAGTCAATACAAGGAGATTTGGGATTGTTATTGCTACATAACAATCAAGGTAACACTATAAACTTATTCTCATGTTAATATGATTATATGTATGCTAGAATTAGGGTTTATAGTCTTGGATTCAAAGCATGTACAATAGAGAAACCTAGATCCAAGCATTAGGGTTTGTATGAGCACATAGGATGTCTTATGACCAAAACCCAACAGGGTTGTGCTTTGGAAGGTGTCGGGATGCATTGGTGAAGAATTCAGGATGATCGGGCGAATAGCGGAAAAGTTTGAAAATGAAGTTTGGAATTGGAGTTAGAGGGGTACACGGGGCGTGTTGGATTTACATTATAAAAGGAGCACAAGCCGTGTGACCAGAAAAGGGGGTTGCTGACTACACTGAACACGACCCTTGTTGATTTTTTCTATTTTGACATGGGCCGTGTTCGACCCCAAAACTGCCTTTTGGCAGTTTTTCCTATTTTCATATCACGGGAATTGAGTCATTTTTAGACACACACATGATACCAGAGCACATTGGGTGAAGGAATTTCAGAGGTTTTTGCAAGGATTTATTCGGTTATCATTTGGAAACATTATTTCCCTTAATTGTAAATTGTAATTGCACATCATTTCAATCTTTACAACTTGTGATTTTGTTCTAGCCATGTGTGGCTAGAACCCTAGTTTCTCCAACTTCTTATTTTGACTTCTTGGTTGTGATTTCAATCATATGACTTGATGTTTGCTTTTGATTTCTATCTAGTGAAATTGATTTTTCTTCAATTTAATGTTTGATTCTAATTGGGACTATTATTGGCCATTTGAATTAGGGTTAGGTCATTCAAGTTATTCATTTTGAAAAATCCATATTTGTTTTGTGAATTGGACTAAGTAAAAAGCATTAAATTGAGTTCTCTTGAATGAATTTAGTGTAAATCTTTTCACACACTTTTACACTCCCGAGCTTGTGAGGAGTATTGGGTGGTGTTGGACATTCACATAAAGCTTAATGCAACCTTTTAATCTAATTCTAAGAGATTGTTTAGACTAGGTTAGTAAGGTTAGGGCTAATCAAAGAGCTTATTTTGGTTAAATAATGTGGTGAATGGGAAGTTTTAGAGCTTGTTAACATTTACAAATACCAACTTAGATGTAATTGAGTAAATATAATGTTATCTTTGAATGCATTGCTAAGTTGTCATACATATAGTTGGAGTCCTTACAAACTTTGAATTTAATTCACCTATTTAGTTGATCACTTGTATTTTTAATTGTTTGTTTTAATCATTACATTATAACCCCCCTTCTTTACTATTGGTGATCATAGTACCTTGTGCAAAGATGTATAGACTGATTGTCCTGCGTCTCTGTGGATCGAGCCTACTTGCATTGTACTACCTTTTAGTACAATATAGTAGTGTTCTTTTGGAGTATATCGTACCCCTTTATTTGTTAGGTTTGATACGCCTAACTGGAACCATGTTTTGTAAACAATTATGGCTTTTGGTTGGTTTTGAAACTGAAAAATTTTACCTTGATATTTGGGATGTTACATTGATGAGTACTATAAGTTTCATTTGGACTCTGTCGACTAATTATTATTTTGTTTTCAAAGTTATATTTTTAATAAACTCAGACTGTTAAAGTCCGTATTAAAATCATAACTCTATCATACGAATTCCGTTCGGCTGTCTTTATATTGATGAATTCTTGTTCACGAGATCTTTGATTCTTTTTTAGATTGATTTGCCTAACAATCGACCGATTCAAATTTCCGTTTTTGTGTCGCACACTGCTGCACTAAATCTTTTAAAAATCGTAACTTATATGCAATCAAATTTGGACGTTATTTATTTGAACGGGTTCGCTTTTACGAATACTACGGATTTCGTTTAGATTACATAAGCTAATAACCAACCTATCTCCAATGCAGTATTTACGACGTACATAGCCGTGTTGGTTTAATCGCAAAACTTCGAACAACATAACTTCTTTATACAAAGTCGGATTTAAGCGCCCCTTATATCCACGTGATAGTCATTACGAGTATTACATCTTTAGCTAATATTATCTATTATATCTTAAATGTATAATCCGAATTTGCAGGCGTTACACAATAGAAAAAGTGTATTAAGTCTCCAATGAAACATGGCCATGTAATGAATTTTCTAGTTAGTGTAAGGCACTACCGCACTAGTGAGATGTTACCCCTCTTCAGAAAGTAGTGGAATATATGAATGGTTCATGGGGCTAAGATGTCCCCATATATTAGAATTAGAAGTATAAATAAAGTCTTTATATTGGTTGTTAGGGGTATAAACTTCTCCATTGATGTTCTAGTTCTAGCTCTTTGTGCAATTGGAAATTATTTATTGTAATATTATTTTGTTAGGAAAAATAGAATAACATTATAAAAATGTGATTATGTTTTAATATCCATGTACTAGTATAAGGGGTATAAAACCAAGTATTTTAGAGTAAGGGTAGAAAATTACATTATTGTGACATTAGGAGTAAAAAATTCCATTTGTATGTTTTGGGTTTGGAACACTTCGGTAATTGATAATTTGTGTAGAAATGTGTTATTATGAGACATGTAGATTGACATTAAGGCTATTAAATCATTATAGTTTAATGTTAAGGGTATATGATTAATATAACTTGTTGTAAAGGGTATGGTTTTATTTATCTATTTATTATTTATTTTACACAATACATAGGTCATCGATTTAGTATTGGCTAAAAAAGAGGATAAAATCCCCAATTAAATAGTTTAAATCATTTTATGATACGAGTGTTCTATATTGATAAAATATTTATTTTGAAACCATCTTTATATTAAAACTAACATAGTGGTCGAAAGAGTACCATGCTGTATCTGGACTTCAAACGATTTAGTTTTAACCATGTGAACGATAACACATTACTGGTTGATAGAGAATTAAATTGAATTTTCCAATAAATTACGAAATTTTATAGTTCTTACATATGATTTCTGAATTTGAAAGTAATTCATGAGATTATGCACCCTTCTATATTGTCCCTATAACTTGTCGTAAATGGTATCTAGTCCCTATAGCTTGAACTAAAGGGTAGGAAGTCACTATAGTTTGTTGTAGATATAACTTGTTAATAAGGGTATAAAGTCCCTAATTGTAAGCTTGACACCCACAAAAAAAATGATGGCACATTTACCATTAGTTGTAATTGTTTTGATGGGAAAATTGCATTAACCATTACAACAATATATGTTGTCTTAAAATCCATGTACTCACGAGAGAGACGAGAGAGACGTTATTTATCTCATGTATCAACTTACTTGACATTGTTCCACAAATCTTAATGAGAAGTGACGATGCACCTTTTGTGAAGAATTAGACGACCCGAGGATTAGCATGCGTGAAACATTAGTTAATTTGTGCGTATGATTTTAGTGGACCTTATAATATTGTACAATTGTTCATTATGTCTTTTATGTTTTGTTACACCCATGATGACACCATTATTGAATAATATATTGCAAAAAGTTGGACCACATTTTCCATTCGACAAAGACATTATTGCAAATGATGTCATGTTGCTAATTGCCGATGATTAAAGTTGGTGGTATTACAACATTAAACTTAAAATAACATGTTAATTATACAACATGTAGTTCTTATCGTTCATGTATCGAGCAAGCTCAGAATCGTACGAACTTCCTTTATAGCCCTTATACTCGCTCCACCACTTCATGAAACTACTCCCCTCCACGAAAATCTCAGGCGACACCGAGAAATCTTTTATCGAATGCCAAACATATACCTCAAAATTCTCGATGTCAGTTGCAATATTATTTGGGTCTTCATTCCTTAAGTCTCTTAGCGAAATCAATGCCTCCTCTACATGCGCCCAAAAGCAAGAATCCTCGGTAAGACTAGCAGCCTTCGTTTTTGGGTCGCTAGGCTTACGACCCTTCTTTTCTTCCTCCGACCACTTCTCTAATAACTTATAGTGGTTTGGTCTCACCGCCATGTAGTTTGTTTTTCGTCTTTTGTAGTGGTCGGCTATGTCTAGTGGCTCGACAATCCTCCTGTAGTTGGTTCCAGCATAGAGCCAACGCTTACGCAACTTCGCACCTTCTTTTTGGGGCACTAGGTCATTTTCTTCCACAGTCTTCTTCCAGTAATGGTTCAAATTTAGTTGATGTTTGATGGCTTCATTTTTTCCCTTGAGTTCGTTTGTGCTTTCCGCATTCTTGTAGCTATCGTAGTAACCCCCTGTAAGTCTTCGGGTCTTCATGTACCATTCTATGTACGTCAAGATTATCTTCATGTCGTTTAGCTTCTTTGTTGGCTCATACACGTTCCTACTTCTGATGATCATCTTTGTTTGCTTCTTTTCCATTTTCTCGATCAAATCATTCGAAATCTCATTTAACGCACCGATTTCTTGAAACTGGAATACAATTCCGGCCCTCAACGGGCTTAAGTTGGATTCGTTGGATTCGGAAGCCCCGTGATAAAATACTGTCTTTCTGATTGAATCCAACTCTTTACTATAATCGTGCATTTGGTAGTTTCCAGCATTTGGTGACACCATAACGTCAAGAACTGCCAAGATCGCATCTTGATCTTCAAAAGCTGTGTGCCCACGTGATTCTGTGCAGAAAAGGAAAGTGCCGAAAGGCTTGTATTGACTAGTCGATGAGAAAAAACTAGCAAGAAGATCTGTCTTCGCGACCACATTCAGGAAAGATGATTTCCATTGTGGGCGTTCAGAGATGGCGCCTTGGAGATGTTGGTTACCAATAAGGGGCGAACCAAACGTTATGCAAATCGGACGTTTGGCGGTTTTTGAACCGTTAGATTCTTCCAAATCTGCGTAATGTTGATGTAGTAGGGTGTAAAGAATGGCGAGGTATCCACCAAGACCACATCCGGTGACAACCAACTGATCATTTATAAGCTGAAAAAAGAAAGATTTAAACCATTAAGAACATATACTACATTTGATCTTGAGTTCTGAATCTGCTAAAGAAAAGATACCTGATTTGAGAGCTCGGAAAGCTCTTTAAAATGAAGCTCAAACAACTCAACAGCAGCTTTGTTAATGGATATTTTGGGGTTGACTTTTGTCGAAATGAAGTCAACGACTTTATGATTATCTGATGAAACCAGATCTTCTCCCTTACGAAAAGGAATTGTATAATCAGACAAACAGTTGAAAGCCAAGACTTTGATCCCAGAAGGACTCGTGTGAAGTTGATAAGTGGAAGAAGTTTGAGAAATTGCTCCATAAGCATCTTGAATGACATGTATGCTGCCAAGAAACTTTCCCACTTCGACTTCACTGTTGAACCTGCAAGTTGTTATGAAACTTATTTTCAAGATTCGATATTTTTATGATGAAAGAGATTAAGATCGATGCAAATCTAGCTTACATCTTTTGGCTCATCTTCTTTCTTGTTTCTTTTTAAGAAACTTTCTGGTGTGTTTCTTTCGGATGTTGAAGACGATTGAACGAAGCTTTCAAAGATTCGTTGTCGCAATAATGTAGATGTCAAGAATGAGTTACTTATAATGCACAAGAATTCATTGGTAGTGGGGTGTCTAATTTACACGAAAGTTCGTGATGATTACAATTTTTATTTACTTATTTAAATGTCGAGTGTTTCAAGTTGCAAGTTCTTTTCCAAAAGTCGTCGATGAAATCTTTATTTATTTAAATTGGTGTAAATAATTCCTGTGGTTCTTATGTTTTATGGACACGGTGCAGTATTTCAATTTCATTTCTAACGTTTTCATCCTCCAAAGGACTTTTTCTTTCACTTTCCGTCCATGGGGTCTATGCGTTAAGTCTATTTACAATGACAAATATATCATTTTCTTTTACTTGAATACAAAGGGTTTCATGGCAGATGAAATCATTATTTTTTTAATAAATATGTTTTATTATTATTATTTTTTCATTAATTTGTGAACTTTTGGTGGCATATGGACGTCCCTTTTCTCGAATATGTGTTCTCTTTCATAATTAGGCCCCACACGTAGAAACTTTCCACATTAACAAATTTGGGGTTCATCATATCATGTATTCTTCTCAGTCATAATGGTATATAAATCGTTAAACTGTTATTACTATTATTTTTTGATTGGCAGGATCATTAAATTGATGTTGATCACATAATAATAACAGAATATAAGTCTAATAAAAATGAGATTGGAGAAATTAAGGTGTTTTTTTTTTTTTTTTTATTGTTTTTATATTGGTTTTTATACGAAGGTAAGAAAATCTATAGGAGTGTATTTTAGTTGAGCTTTTTCATAAAAAAGAAAAAAAAGTTATCAGGTTTTTTTTTTTTTTTTTTTTTTTTTTTTGAAAAGAGTAAGTTATCAGGTTAAGACAAGAAAATTTAGACTTGACGATGTATTATTATTATTATTATTATTATTATTATTATTATTATTATTATTGGTATCCCCCAAATTGTCCATTAATAAAGATGTTAATATATAGGGTTAATAATTTTATAGCTAGGATAACAAATTATAGTCTGTGTACATTTTTTATCACTTATTCTTTTTGGTGCATGATTAACCTTTAATTAATTTATTTTTTTTAAGCACACTATTATTATTGTCATAGAGGTTATTTCACGTAAACCTGTTATTGGGTTCTAGTTGCACCTCAGGTGACATCTCTAACGACCGTGCCTCCTATGGCCAGATCTCCAGCCACTAACACCTCGACATCTCGAACCTCAGGCGATATCTCATATTAGGTCATCTTTGCTTGGTGAGCTCATACAAAAAAAAATAATAATAATAATAATAAAAAAACCCTGAAAATTGAAGATGAATAACAAAAAACAAAAAACAAAATAAAAATTTTAAAACCATGCTCAAATATCTCTTGACAAATAGAAGATATACCAAAAAAAAGTTTTTAATACCAATGATAAAATCATAAAAACAAGGAAAAAACATAAGTAAATTACACGAATGGTCCCTATGGTTTGAGGTAATTTGTATGTTAGGTCTATAATTTTTTTTTTTTAATTCGGAAGGTTCCTACTATTTGTTTTTGTTATACTTTTGGTCCTTAATATTTGTTTTTGTTACATATTTGGTCTCTGTTTTATCTAAAAAAATATTATTTAAATAGAGAAAAATATTGGGATATGTAAGGTAAGGTGAGGGGTGGGGTTCGAGGTATGTTTATTGAAAAATATTGGTTTCAATTGTATGTGATGCTTTAACTATTTGCTTGCTAAAATTCTTTTTTCTTGCCTCTGCCCGACTCAACTCCACGAGTTATTATCTGGACTCGGCGAGTCTGTGCGTCAGAGGATATTTCGAGATTTTGTTGCTGTTTTGTCATGGGATTAATGCCTAAATCGTTTTTTGAAGATAAAATCCGAATTTTATTGTATTTAAATGATTATCCCTGCCAAAACAATAGAGAACTTCAAATCTTTTGAATATTAGTTGTTTATATGATAAATATGGACTATTTAAAGCTTTTTGGTAATTATCCTATGACTAAAATAGGATTAGGTCAAATATAGATAATTATGAAATTAATTGTTTACTTTAAATTATTTGTTATTTGATCCCTTGTGTTTTGAAATATTCAAAACTTGCCCATAAGTTTTGAAATTTGAATTTTGTGATTAAAAGTTTAATTTTGAATAATTTAAATTTCAAAGCCTTAGAATTTTACAAGTTTAAAATTCAACCCTGTACTATTATATTATTACAAGTTTAATATATATATATATATATATATATATATATATATATATATATATATATATATATATATATATATATATATATCCGGTAAGAATTTTTTTTTGGTAGGAAGGTAACAAGTTTTTTTTCTAGATACTTTTTTGACGAACAAAATAAATGAATCACTAGATGATTCATTTGTAAGATGATTCACAAGAAAAAATTCTCAAAAAAACATCTTTATGATTCATTTTTAAGTAAATTAAGAAAAAATTTATTTTTATGATAATTTTAGTGAATAACAACAAAATCATTGTATAAATGAATCATTGAGATGTTTTTTTTAGAATTTTTTCTTGTGAATCATCTTACAAGTGAATCATCTAATGATTCATTTTGTTTGTTCGCGAAAAAAATATGTAGAAAAAAAGCTTCTTACCTTCCTACCAAAAATTTCCTTCTTATTTGATCTTGACTCTCTCTCTCTCTCTCTCTCTCTCTATATATATATATATATATATATATATATATATATATATATATATATATATATATATATATATATATATATATATATATATATATAGGGTTAAGTTCAAATAAGAACACTATTTAGTGTGAGAATGTGAGAACACTACTTTATATTACTATTCTACTATGAATTTTGTATATACAACGATATGACATTATTCATCAACGAATATACGAACAATCACACATTAATATTCACATTAAAATTTTGTATGTACAACTTTATGACATTATTCATCACCGAATATATGAACAATCACATATTTAACATTCACATTAGAATTTATTAAATTACTACACACACACACATATATATATATATATATATATATATATATATATATATATATATATATATATATATATATATAAATTTTATAGTAGAATAGCAATATAAAATTAATATATTCATATTATAATTACTACAATACTATACATATTAAATTCATAGTGAAAGAGTAACATAAAGTAGTGTTCTCACGTTCTCACATTAAATAGTGTTCTCTTTTGAACTTAATATATATAGGGTTATGTTCAAATGAGAACACTATTTAATGTGAGAACACTACTTTATGTTACTATTCTACTATGAATTTTGTCTATACGACGATATGACATTATTCATCAACAAATATACGAACAATCACACATTAATATTCACATTAAAATTTTATATGTACAACTTTATGATATTATTCATCACCGAATATATGAACAATCACATATTTAACATTCACATTAGAATTTACTAAATTACTACACATATATATAATTTTTATAGTAGAATAGTTATATAAAATTGAATATATTCATATTATAATTACTACAATACTATACATATTAAATTCATAGTAGAATAGTAACATAAAGTAGTGTTCTCACGTTCTCACATTAAATAGTGTTCTCATTTGAACTTAACCCTATATATATATATATATATATATATATATATATATATATATATATATATATATATATATATATATATATAAAATTTAGAATGCTAGTCTTACCGTTAGTAGGCCTCATTCACGAAGCCGCTCTATAAGGCGGGTATAAGGGTGTTGCCTATAAAATGGCGCTTAATGGGTGTACACTCACACCCATCGCTTGTTTGACTAGTGGATGGTCGTTAGCCGAACGGGTAGGATAAGACAATACTCTCCTCATTAAATGTATAATGTAAGATACAAAGTAACTACAATGTTTTTACATATTCCCAATCTTAGTTAATTTAGGGCAAAATGTGAAAATGATGCTTTTCCATGGAATTACACTTTGTACCCTTGTCAAACGTTAGTGAAGCATGCGTGGTTAACCGGCACACTAATTTGGGATTGACATTGGTGGCAAAGGGTGGCTCGATGTTTATCATAGATCAATGGAGCGTGCGTGGCTAACCGGCACATTGATTAGGTGATAGAGACATTGAGTACACCATGTTGATTCGCATGGTTATTCACAACTTCTTTGCGATCCTCGGCATCCCAGTCGCAAATTTGAAGTGCATATCGATATTTAAACATGCCATTGAAAGGTTCAATGAATCTCAAAGATCTAGGAGTTTTCAATACATTTAAAACTTAAATCTCTTTTTTGTTTTTCATGGTGAGAAGTAGTGAATCATCATTGACTTACCTTCAAATTATTTACTTTTAGAGTACGACATCCCTTTCTAAGTTGTAAATAATGTTGTTGGGTCCTAGCCCCAATTTCTCATTTGGGTGTTTAATTAGGGACTCATTTCTAATCAAACTTTGCTCCTTTTCTTTTTCAAATGTCTGCAAACAACATGAACAACGCTTCTGGGTCATTCTCGTTGATGAACCTATGTTAAAAGGTGACATTTGATGGGTCAAACTTCAACGAGTGGATGAGGTATATTCACATTAGCACATGCTATGAGGAAAAAGAATATGTCCTCGATGAAAAACTTGAAAAGATCATCCCAGATGTTGCTACTCCTGAAGAGTTGGCCGCCTTTGAGGCCTACGAGCGTGATGCTACGAAAGTTCATTGCATCATGCTGGCCACCATGAACCTCGAACTCCAAAAGTCCTATGAGGACATGTATCCGTATGAAATGCATCAGGATTTGCTGGACCGGTACCACCAAAGCGCGAGGCAAGAGCGCTATGAGATCATTACTAATATTATCACCACTAAGATGGGGAGTGGAGAATCCCAAACCTCTCATTTGCATAAAATGCAGAGGTATGTTGATCGTCTTCTCAAACTTAATGATAAGTTTGATGAGGATTTGACTATCGACATAATCCTCTACTCCTTGCCTTCATGCTACAACCAGTTCAAAATGACCTACCACATGAATAAGAAAGAGGTCTCCTTAAGCAAGCTCCAAGGATTGCTAAGGACTGCTAAGAGCAACCTCAAAGACAAATCT